GTGTGTGTGTGTGTGTGTGTGTGTGTGTGTGTGTATGTATGTATGTATGTATGTATATGAACATAGATACAGAACCGCACAGCATTCTGGGATATGTAGGCAAAGGGAAAGCTTTAGCCCAGGGGTGTCAAACTCATTTTCACTGAGGGCAACAGGAGCATAATGATAGTCCTCTAAGGACCAGTTGTAATAACGTCAACGTTTTGTATTTAACTTTGAGTTTTACTCACGGTAGAATTGTGGTGAGTAGCTGCCATCTTGAATTCAGAACTCTCCCATTTTCCAACAAATTCCACTGTTCCAGATGCAACTTACAGCTAGTAAGTGGGAAATTCTCACTTCTAAGTAAAACTGGGCTGCAGCAAAAAATAGTGAAAATGAAGCTAAATGGAGATTTTAGACAGCAAATTTCATAATGGAAGATTTAGGGTCAATGCTGGCTTTAAAGCAGCATAAACACATTTTAAGGCCGTAATACACCTTTAAAGCTCTGGCTGGCCGCACAAAATGCTGTGGAGGGCCACGTTGCACCTGCAGGCCTCGAGTTTGACACATGTGGCTCAGCTAGGACAGTGGCGTTAGCTAACTCAGTCACTTTAAGGTAAGCTAGCAACAACCTGTTGAGTAACATGCAKTAGCAGTTCCATGTTTCGCCTCATAACTGCTTAAAAATAGAAGAGAAACGACGTAGAGTGAAAGAAAACAAATGCAACAGCTCGAGATGAAATTGTGGAAAAAAAGAGGAAAAGTCACGTTAGCAGTATAAATCAGACGTTTTCTTCTCCTTGTCCTTATCTCAAATAGGTAAAACACAAAATTAATCAATAATTATCAATATTGACTATATGAAACGCTTATATCGTGATACAGTACATTTTTCAGCCCTATCACCTAGTCATAGTTAGAACCTTGTTACTTCCCACACAGACAAAAAAAAAATCTTATGTTTGCTATTATGGATTGTCTGCTGCACAAAACATGATAATATAAAGCTGGATCTGCCACAAATTAAACAAACACAGATAATAATGTCAGGAAACGTTCATACATAAACTGCCACACGCTCAAACCGTACAGTGAAGACTGCAGAGCGTTCACCAGCAGCTGGCCTCCTACACAGGTTTCAATTATCCAAATATGAAGCACTTAATCAACTAAAGCAGAAAGTTGACACAAAAGCCACACGAGAGACAGAATTGTCATGGTGACAACTTCAAGAAAAGAGAAGTCCAGAGAACCTTGCTGTTACCATGGCAGCTCATTTTATGTACATTGTACCCGGTGCGTCTGTTATACGGTTCATCAGGCGTGGGTGTCGTATTATTCCAGCTGGGCTGCATGGCTCATGCTACATCTGATTCAA